GCTCGACTCTGCGCTGCAGTCTCAGTGTACAGGACTCTACCTGTACACGGTCACCGTGCTGTCGGCGCTTGGCTATTCGCTCGGCGGCGGCGGTGGCCCCTCGTCGGGCGCCGACGCAGCGCTGTGCGTGGACGCCCGGACACGCGGGGCTGGGAGGGAGGAGGAGGAGAAGGAGCGGTCGCCGCTCATCCCATCCAGCTGCCCCGAAGGGGAGGGGCGGGGAGGTGGTGAGGAGGGGCGGGTGGGGGGCGGGGCGGGGTGGCGGGGCGCGCTGGGCAGCATGGGTGCCGTGGCGGGCAGTGTCGGGCGGGCGTGCCTCGGAGCGGCGTCGCTGCTCCTCCTCGGCGTGACGCTGCTCCCCCTCTCCTCGATCGCAAGCCAGCCGGTGGAGGCGCTCGTGCCTTCCGTCGCCGGGCTGCGGCGCGCGACACTCGCGATGCACGCGCGGCTCCGCCCGTTCCACGCGACCTCCTCGTACGGGCTCTTTCGACGCATGACCGGCGTGGGGCCCCGTCGCAGCGAGGGGGTGCCCGAGGCGTGGGGCTGGGGCGGCCTCCCTCCGTCCATCGTCGAGGTGCCCGCCGTCGCAATCGAGGGCCACCCGAGCTTGCGGGGAGGCGGGGGGGCCGCCGAGGAGGGCTGGATCGAGATCCCCTTCCGGTACGCGCCATTCGGCGAGCGGCGGGCGCCGCGCCGCACCGCGCCGCACCAGCCACGCCTCGACTGGCAGATGTGGTTCGCCGCCCTCGGCTCGTACCAGCGCAACCCGTGGCTGCTGCATCTCGCCTACAAGATCCTCTCTGGCGGCGATGGCAGCGCGACGCTCACCCTCCTCGACACCGCGGCCTACCCCTTCCCGCCCGATCGGCCTCCAGCACGCGTGCGGGCAGTCCTCTACCACATCGACTTTACGCGAGTGCCCTCTCCATGGGCCAACCGCATCCCCGGCGTCGCCCTGCAGCCCGCACAATGCGGGTGGGCGGGGCCCTACGCGGCGCTCAATGCGAGCAGCCGGTGTGGCCGCTGGTGGCGGCGGAGGCGGGTGCGCGAGTACTTCCCGCCGCTCGACCGAGGCTCCCTCGAGGAGTTGCTGATCAAGCCGAGGGGGTGGCCCATCTTTGCAGACGCTGCGGCGCGGCAGCTTGACCCGTGCCGGGACCGAGCTGGCGATGCAGGAGGGAGTGACCGCGCGCTGCCGGGCCCTGTCTGCGACGCTACCGTGCTCGCGCGCCGTGCCGCTGCGCCGCTGCGCCGCTGGGTGGGCTGGGAATTGGGCGGGCTGGTGTTTTTGGATGCGCCGCTCCTCGTCATTGCGGCGGCGGCGGCGCTTGCGCTCGCACTCGGAGCCGCCGCGCGTAGCTGCGGCGGCGGCTGCGGTGGCAGGCGCAGGGGTCAGGCTGCAAGTGGCGTCATGCTGTAGGGTGGCAAAGTTGTGACACGTGAGCGTTGCAGACCGGACGTGGCGTGGCGTTGCGGTGTATCTTCTTACTTATTCTTCCCTACCGTGGTACGGGGTGAGGGCGGTGGAGAAGCGAGATTTTGGCGGCGCGGTGAGGCGAGGGCGGCTGGAGGCGAGAGGGGGGGAGGCGCGGCGCGCACGATGAGAAACCAGCGAGGGGGCAGGTTGCGTTAAATTGTCACTCGCCATGCGCGTCCTTGGGTGACCCTCCAAAACTCCCTCCCCGCGCTTGCGTATGCGGGTGGGAGCTTCGAGGACATGCAGGCGTCCCATCCCCTCTGGCCATCCCCCCGGCTCCCAAGCGCGCGGCCGCGACGCGCTGCGCACCCTCTTCCGCGCTGCGCCCGCTCTCGGCATGGCCGTCGTCCGCCGAGATCACCTCCTCTTCGCGCCGCAGGTGCACAACCAAGAGCTGGCCACCTCCGTATCCATCATGGTGAAGCCAATGGGCCAAATTGGGAGAGCGCTCCCCTCCCAGGTGGCCGGAGGGTACACCTCGGGTCGGCGTGCTGGGGGGGGCGCCGGTGCGCAAACCCACTTTCCGGGCGACCCCGAGGGGGAGGAGGCCGGGCGAGTGGCAGCAATTCACTGTTAGTGTCCCGGGCCGCTGCGGCACTGTTTATACGGCCCCTCGTGATGTCTTTCCGATTTTGCATTGTGAGTCGTCCTCTGGCGCACCAGAACGGCATGTTTGCTGCTGGCTGCGGGCGCGAAATGGGCTTTTTTCAACTCGCAACCAAGTATACTATACAAGAACACCCTCGGAGGGGACACTCGGCGCATGTGCGACACGTCAGGGTGGAGTTGGCGGTGGCCGAGCGTCGTCTCCCAATCGACTCGCAGCGCGGAGTCGAGGGGTGGAAGCGCGTCGCGCTGCGACACTCGAGAGCCGGCGGGATAGCCGTGGGGCGCGGCCGACTTTGATGTCCTCGAAGATCCGGTGCGCATTCGTCCTCTGACCCACTTCTCGAGAACGCGGCCATTCTCCATTGACAATCTAACGCAACCTTGAGCTAGCCCGTTCCACACAGTGCGAGGGGCGGGACGGCATGCCGGAGGGCGGGTGGGCGGAGGTGGGCGGCGCGCGGGCACGTGGGTTGGAGGGAGCCCCGTGCCTGCCTGGCGAACGCCTCGGCCAAGTGCGCAAGGACAGTGGGAATGGAGGTGACTTGTGGGTGACGCTAGAGGAGTCGAGTGCATGCTTCGGAACGCAAAGAAGAGCACGGAAAGCTCTGAGGATAAGACGCTCGCGCCGCCCAATTCGAAAGCTACATTCTCATTCAGCCCAGAGGGGACCGCGGGAGCGCCCCGTGGCGGCTCGGAGAGGGCCGGGTGTTTTAGTGCTGCCGCGCTGCCTTGGGGGGCAGGGCGGCGGTGAGGGCCAGGCGGTGGAGGTGACGGTGGTGACGAGAGGGGGGCGGCGAGCTAGGGAGGGTGGTACCCTTTGTGAAACTGAAACGCGATCTGTCTCACGTTCCTCAACGCTTGCGATTCAGCTGTCGCGCCGCTGGATGATCTTGCTCAGCTCGCCGAGCTCGACCTGAACGGTCAGCGGCGCGACCGCTGAATCGCAGCCGTTCGTGCTGCACGCATGCATCGTTTCACATTACTTCCCCCCATCCCTAGGGCGGTGGGGCGGCTGGACGCGAGAGGGTGAGAGCGGCGGCATGCTGGAGGGGTGGGGGCGGGGCGGGAGGCGGAGGCGAGGGCGGCGGCGAGGGCGGCGGCGGCGAGAGCGGCGGTGAGGGCGGGGGGTAGCTGAGGAGGGTGGCGGGCTCGACGGCGACGGCAAGAGCAGGGGCGGCTCGAAGGGGCGGCGCGGGTGGCGGCGACGGCGGCGCCGCCGTCGCCGCCCGGCAGCGGCGTGGGGGGCGAGGGCAGTGGAGGTAACGGTAACGGTGGTGGTGACAGGAGAGATGGCGGTGGCGGCTGTGGTGCGAGAGGGCGGCGGGGGCAATGACAGTGGCAAGCGGGTTGGCCGGGCGATGCTACACAGAGGAGCGCGGTGTGTGCTTCGGAACGCAAAGAAGAGCGTGGAAGGCTCTGAGTAGACTTAGACGCTCGCGCCGCCCGCTCCGGAGGCTGCATTCAGCCCGGAGGGGACCGCGGGAGCGCCCAGTGGCGGCTCGGGGAGAGCCGGGTGTGTCTGCGCAGTGGCCTGCGCGCTGCCTTGGGCAGAAATCGCCCTCTCGGCTCCGCCCCCGAGCGAGTGAGGCTCGGAGGAGAGGCGAGAGGGCGAGAGCGCCGAGAGAGCGACTGAGGAACGGGAGAGGCCCTGGCGCGGCTCCAAGCGAGGGTTGTTGCGCGCGCGCAACAAATCGTCAGAACCAAGGCTGAATCTCAGCGGATCGTGGCAACAAGGCCACTCTGCCGCGTACAATACCCCGTTCCTTATTCAAGTCGTCTGCAAGGGATTCGTCGGCCCGGGTCCGTGAATTGTGGTCGCTCGCGGCTCAGGCAGTGCTGCGGCACCGTTGCTCGTGGCGTCCCGGGCCGGTAGGTGGCTTCCTTCCGGCATGGATTCTAACTTAGAGGCGTTCAGTTATAATCCGGCGCATGGCAGCTTCGCCGCATCGCCGTTTCCGGCGGCGGCTATACCGATGATGCGAATTGGTGGTTCCTCTCGTACTGAACCAAATTACCGTAGAAAAACAGACAGCAGTAGGGTAAAACTAACCTGTCTCACGACGGTCTAAACCCAGCTCACGTTCCCTGTTGGTGGGTGAACAATCCTGCATTTGGCCCCCGCTGCGAGGCAGTGATAGGAAGAGCCGACATCGAAGGATCAAAAAGCTACGTCGCTATGAACGCTTGGCAGCCACAAGCCAGTTATCCCTGTGGTAACTTTTCTGACACCTCTAGCTTGAAATTCCCAAAGACGAGAGGATCGATAGGCCACGCTTTCGCGGTTTGTATTCGTACTGAAAATCAAAATCAACCGAGCTTTTCCCCTTTCGGTCCACATGAGATTTCTGTTCTCATTGAGCTCAAAATCGGGCGCCTGCGTTATTTTTTAACAGACGTGCCGCCCCAGCCAAACTCCCCACCTGTTAGTGTCCCCGACGCGGATCGCGCGCACGAAGCGGCTTGGATCCAGAAGTGAGGCGAGCCTCCCTCCGCGCCACCGAGTAAGTAAAACAACGTTGACGGTTGCGGTATTTCACTGTCGGGTTGCCCCTCCCGCATATTCTACACCCATCAAGTCGTTCCACAGTAACAGACTAGAGTCAAGCTCAACAGGGTCTTCTTTCCCCGCTGATTCTTCCAAGCCCGTTCCCTTGGCTGTGGTTTCGCTAGACAGTAGATAGGGACAGTGGGAATCTCACGAATCCATTCATGCGCGTCACTAATTGGATGACGAGGCATTTGGCTACCTTAAGAGAGTCATAGTTACTCCCGCCGTTTACCCGCGCTTGGTTGAATTTCTTCACTTTGACATTCAGAGCACTGGGCAGAAATCACATTGCGTCAGCACCCTCGCGGGCCATCGCAATGCTTTGTTTTAATTAAACAGTCGGATTCCCCTTGTCCGCGCCAGTTCTGAAGCGGCTGTTCGTCGCGCAGGGAGAGCCGGAGCGCTCCTAGGCCGTCCGCCGGACGGCCGCGCGGGATCCGCAGCCGTGAGGCCGTAGTCCCCGCGCAGCCAGCCGGCCTCGAGCCTAGGACCCCTGCGCCCAGCCTTCAGAGCCATTCCTTCTCCCGAGGTTGCGGAACCATTTTGCCGACTTCCCTTACCTACATTGCTCTATCGACTAGAGGCTGTTCACCTTGGAGACCTGATGCGGTTATGAGTACGACCAGGCGTGAGAACGAACCGCTCCCCCGGATTTTCACGGGCCGTCGGGAGCGCGCCGGACACCCCAAGACTTAGGGTGCTTTGCCTGCCGTGTAGCCCTCGCTCCGGCTAAACCGATTCCAGGGCAGGAGGCAGTTAAGAAGAAAAGAGAACTCTTCCCAGGGCTCCCGCCGGCGTCTCCGGGTTCGTTCGCGTCGCCGCCCACCATCCACGCGCTGGCTCGGGAATATTAACCCGATTCCCTTTCGACGGACGGGCTGACAGAACCAGCCGCGTTCGGCGGAGTTTTCCTGTCTCTTAGGGTCGGCTCACCCGTGTCCAACTGCTGTTCACACGGAACCTTTCTCCACTTCAGTCTTCAAAGTTCTCATTTGAATATTTGCTACTACCACCAAGATCTGCACCGGGGCCCGCTTCACCCAGGCTCGCGCCCAAGGCTGCGCCGCGAGCCCCGCGCCCTCCTACTCGCCGGCGCCTCGCGCTCGCGCCGGCGGCCGCGCATCGGTGGTCCGCTTGAGCGCCATCCATTTTCAGGGCTAGTACCTTCGGCAGGTGAGTTGTTACACACTCCTTAGCGGGTTCCGACTTCCATGGCCACCGTCCTGCTGTCTGGAGGTACCAACGCCTTTTGTGGTATCTGATGAGCGGACACTTGGGTACCTTAGCGCGGCGTTCGGTTCATCCCGCATCGCCAGTTCTGCTTACCAAAAATGGCCCACTTTGAACGCGCCGTTCGCCGCCCGGGATCACTCAAGCATCCCGGGCCTCTTGCCCATTTAAAGTTTGAGAATAGGTGCAAGCTGTTTCAGCCCACAGGCCTCTAATCATTCGCTTTACCTGACAAAACCGTTGCGTTCAAGCTATCCTGAGGGAAACTTCGGAGGGAACCAGCTACTAGATGGTTCGATTAGTCTTTCGCCCCTATACCCAGATTCGACGAACGATTTGCACGTCAGTATCGCTACGAGCCTCCACCAGAGTTTCCTCTGGCTTCACCCTACCCAGGCATAGTTCACCATCTTTCGGGTCCCGACAGGTGTGCTCCACTCAAACCCCTCACAGCAGGTCAAGGTCGGTTGGCAGGGCATGCCCTTCACTTTCATTCCGCACGCGGGCTTGCCACCCGGGTACTCGCACACGTGTCAGACTCCTTGGTCCGTGTTTCTAGACGGGTCGGAGGGGCCCGTTCCGTCAGCCGGGCCCCGGGCCGCGCCAGGACGGGAGCTGGCCGTAAAGCCCCGCTCCCGGGTTGAGGCGCGGCGCCGAGGCGCGGCTGACCCGGCGCGCAGAAGTGCACCTGGGGAGAACCCCAGGCTGAGTCGGCGCGCCGAAGCCGGGCCCATCCGGGTTTCCTCCTACCGATTTCAAGCACTCTTTGACTCTCTTTTCAAAGTTCTTTGCATCTTTCCCTCACGGTACTTGTTCGCTATCGGTCTCTCGCCAGTATTTAGCTTTAGATGGAATTTACCACCCAATTCAAGCTGCAATCCCAAGCAACCCGACTCGACGAGGACGCATCGTAAGGCCGCAACCCGCCACGGTACGGGATTCTCACCCTCTCCGACACCCTGTTCCAAGGGACTTGAGCGGCGGGCGCGGCCGATAACGCCTCTCTAGACCACAATTCGGGGGGCGCTGCATACGCGAGGCCTCCAGATTGGCAGCGTGAGCTCAGCCCGCTTCATTCGCCATTACTAGGGGCATCCTGGTTAGTTTCTTCTCCTCCGCTTAGTGATATGCTTAAGTTCAGCGGGTAGTCTTGCCTCATTCGATGGCGGGTTTCGAGGCGCGCGGCCGCACAGAGAGCGGCCGCGCGCCGGGGCGGGCGGGCCCCGCTCTCCCGGAGGAGAGGAGAGGCACCGCGCACGCCGGGGGTCGCGAGGCAGAACGGGGCACGCGTCCGCCGGAGGTCTAGTCGTGGACTTAGCACTCCGGCGGGGACGCGGGTTAGACGCCGCCGCCGCGCTCGCAAGGCAGCCTTGGGCGGGCGCGCGGGGGAACCGAGGCTCCCCCGCGCGGCCGCCGGCTCCGGAGACGAGAGAGAGTGCTCTCTCGCTCCGAGGAGGATGGAGGCGCCCCTCGAAGAGACATGCGTCCGAGCGGAGCCCGGATGCGCCATTTGCGTTCAAAGGTTCGATGATTCACTGAATTCTGCAATTCGCACTACGTATCGCATTTCGCTGCGTTCTTCATCGTTGCGAGAGCCAAGATATCCATCGGCAGGAGTTGTGGGGTTTCATAAGTTGAGGCAGCGCCGGCGTGAGAGCCCGCGCTGCGCAAGAGAGGGGGCCGTGGGGAGGGGAGAGCCACGCGCGCGCCCGAGGCGCACACGAGCACTCCACACTCACCCAGGCGCGAGACAAGAGGGGTGCGGGCCCGGGTCGGCTCAGGAGAGCCCCCCGGACAGCCGCGCGCTCCGCGCGAACGCGGAGCGAGCGACGGGGTTAGACGGGGTACGGTGCAACATCGGTGTGGGTTGGAAAGACCGGTAATGATCCTTCCGCAGGTTCACCTACGGAAACCTTGTTACGACTTCTCCTTCCTCTAAATGATAAGGTTCGGACAGCTTCCCGCGGCGTCGCGGCTGGAGAACCAGCTGCGGCGCCGCAGTCCGGGGGCCTCACCGGATCATTCAATCGGTAGGAGCGACGGGCGGTGTGTACAAAGGGCAGGGACGTAATCAACGTGCGCTGATGACACACGCTTACTAGGAATTCCTCGTTGAAGATTAATAGTTGCAATAATCTATCCCCATCACGATGCAATTTCAAAAGATTACCCGGACCTCTCGGTCAAGGTGATAGACTCGTTGAGTGCATCAGTGTAGCGCGCGTGCGGCCCAGAACATCTAAGGGCATCACAGACCTGTTATTGCCGCGAACTTCCACTTGTTGAAGACAAGTTGTCCCTCTAAGAAGCTCCAGCGAACGGAGGGTTCGCGTCGCTATTTAGCAGGCTGCGGTCTCGTTCGTTAACGGAATTAACCAGACAAATCACTCCACCAACTAAGAACGGCCATGCACCACCACCCATCGAATCAAGAAAGAGCTCTCAATCTGTCAATCCTCACAATGTCTGGACCTGGTAAGTTTCCCCGTGTTGAGTCAAATTAAGCCGCAGGCTCCACTCCTGGTGGTGCCCTTCCGTCAATTCCTTTAAGTTTCAGCCTTGCGACCATACTCCCCCCGGAACCCAAAGACTTTAGTTTCCCGAAAGGTGCTGAAGGAGTCACAAATGGAACATCCTCCAATCCCTAGTCGGCATGGTTTATGGTTAAGACTACGACGGTATCTGATCGTCTTCGATCCCCTAACTTTCGTTCTTGATCAGTGAAAACATCCCTGGCAAATGCTTTCGCAGTGGTTCGTCTTCCGCTGGTCTGAGAATTTCACCTCTCTCGGCGGAATACGAGTGCCCCTGACTGTCCCTGTTAATCATTACTCCGGTGTTCGAAACCAACAAAATAGCACCAGAGTCCTATTTCATTATCCCATGCTAATCCATGCAAGAGCGACTGCCTGCTTGAAACACTCTGATTTTTTCAAAGTAAAAGACCCGTCTCCCGCGCCCGCTCAGTTAAGAGTAGGCGCGGTCTCCGGGTGGAAGGACGCGCCGGCCAGTGCATACCCATCGGCAGACCGGTCGGCCCGCCCCGAAATCCGACTACGAGCGTTTTAACTGCAACAACTTTAATATACGCTATTGAAGCTGGAATTACCGCGGCTGCTGGCACCAGACTTGCCCTCCAATTGATCCTCGTGAAGAGATGTAAATTGTACTCATTCCAATTACAAGACTAAAATAGCCCTGTATTGTTATTTCTTGTCACTACCTCCCTGTGTCAGGATTCGGGCAATTTACGCGCCTGCTGCCTTCCTTGGATGTGGTAGCCATTTCTCAGGCTCCCTCTCCGGAATCGAACCCTAATTCTCCGTTACCCGTTAACGCCATGGTAGGCCTCTATCCTACCATCGAAAGCTGATAGGGCAGAAATTTGAATGAACCATCGCCGGCGTAGAGCCGTGCGATTCGAGCAGTTATTATGACTCAGCACGCAACCGGAGACCGGTTTGGTTTCTTATCTAATAAATACATCCCTCCGTGAGTCGGGAACTCCTGCATGTATTAGCTCTAGAATTACTACGGTTATCCAAGTAGCAAGGTACCATCAAATAAACCATAACTGATTTAATGAGCCATTCGCAGTTTCACAGTATAGTCGCTTATACTTAGACATGCATGGCTTAATCTTTGAGACAAGCATATGACTACTGGCAGGATCAACCAGGTAGCCCGCAGACAACCCGCGGGGAGGGAGCCCAGTCGGAGACCAGACCCCCTCCCGCAACGGAAGTCCCGGACCAGACAGGGGCAGGCCAGCGCGCGCGGTCCGAGTCAGAGCCCTCCGTCTCCGGAGGGGACAAGAGACCACCGCGCGCGGCCGCCCAGAGCCTGACCGACAGTGCTCACTCCGAGGCCAACAAAGCCAAGGACACGTGTCGTAATCATGTTACGGAGCGCGGCTCTAGTCAGAGCCGCAGCCCTCGCGCGGCGCCAAGCCGCGGGCCGGCCCAGTACGGGCGGCCTCGCGGGGCGCGGCGCATCGCGCCTCCACTCAAGGATTCGCACGACCGCTCGGTGGCTAGAAGCGCATCACAACCGACACGCCGCAGCTCCACAGCAGGGCGGGAGCCGCTCCGAAAGGGGAGGGCTGCACCGCTGAGCCTGCCAGGGCCTTGTTACGCGGGGCCAGTCGAGGCGCCACCGCCACCGACAGTGCAGCCAGCCGACCCGCGCCCAGAGGAAACCTCCGAGCTGCGAGCCAGCCGCGCTGCGGGGTGAGGCGCACGAGGCGTCTGCCCATCGGGAAACCATCTGCTTCTCACACACAGCCGCTGCCCAGGCGGCCCCATCCGGTCCGGAGGGGCACAGCGAGGGAGCTTTTGCGTCGGGGGAGGGTGAGTCCCCGCGGCGGCACGTGCTGACTAGGCGTCTACGTAACCGAGACTGGGGCCGGATCGCGCAGTGGCGACCCAACCCCGCCCAGCACCGCCTCACACGCACCAGCCGCTCAGTCAACCTACCGGGCCGCGGCTCAAACCGTAAGCAAAAGTCTGCTCCGGCGAACCGCGCCGAGGGAGCACCGCGCCGGCTGCCTCGCGGCCGCCGTTCTGCGCGTCTCCTCACCTATCCACCTGCTTGGGTGGCCGAGAGGGCGGTACCGACCGCGCGGGCAGCACCGCCAGACAAGCCCCAGTGTGTCCGCGCCAGTGCGCGTACTCGCGTTTGTATTCGCCGCAGAAATGCGTATTCCTCTAAGTGGTACGCCGGAGGGCGCCGCTTTGATTGGGTGAGACCATTACGAGCCGAGGCGCGGACACACTGGGGAAACTGCGCCCCCAGTCTTACCGATTCGCCCCGAAGCCGAATGGAATGGGACTGGGGATGCAAATTCGAACCGAATGCGACGTTTTGACTAGGAAACGCGCACACCGACTGCAAACAAAGCCAAACACACCCGAAACGAATCGACTTGGGCCCCGCGGAGCCGGGAGACGGGCTCCGGGACCGGGGCGGACGGCACACCGACCTCGCCGCACCACACCCCGCCGCCCCGCCTCGGTGCACGGGACCGGGACGCCCCTGCCGCGGCCCCTCCCACCGCTGGGCGGGCCCCGCCGCGCCCCTCCGCCCTCCTCGCCCCACGGGCGGCCCCCTGTCACCGCGGAAAAGTTCTTTTCTGTCGTCCCGTTCGTGCTTAAAAAGAATTCTGCCGACGTGAGGATGATCCTGTGTGAGTGATCCTGCCCACCCCCTCTCCGTGTCGCGCTGTGTGCCCCCGCCCCCTCTTCCCGAATGGCATCCTCCCCCCTTGCTTGCTCCGCAAGGAGCAAGTTACTAAGGTGGGGGGACGACTCTGTCCTCTTCCCATCGCTACTCTATAGTTTGCCGCGGTGTTCGATATTCTGTCAGCCGATGGACCACCGGCCGAGAGGATTATTTTTCTTGGTGTACCTGTGTTAGAGCCACTGCGCGCCTCCCTCCCTCCCTCCCTACTCGAGTAGTCACACGCGGTATAGGGGGTCGAAAAGAATTTTCCGCGTTTCATGCGTCTTGAAAGAATGTTCCGCCTTTCATGCGCCCTCCACCCTCATCACCCTTGCAAACTCCTGGAAATCGAAATAGATGGAACGGCGGGCCGGGAGCGTAAAAGATGACAAACAATCTCTCTCTAATAAAAGATATGTACCGTCGCGCCAACCGGCGTTTCAGCCGCTGGGTCCGCCACCGCCATTACGCGAGGCCATGTCCGACTGGAAGATCAGCGCGCCCGGGCTGCGCCAGCCCTACGGCGACTGCAACGGAAACATCGACATCCTCTCTCCCCGCGCACCTCACGCCTCCACAGCGTCGTCCTTCAGTGAGTCGTCGTCGAGCGACGGGCAGGCGCAGCCCTGCGATGCATTTGCCACCTCCGCAGACGTCGACGAGACACGAGCTCGTCTCCGCGACCGGGCCGTTGCGGATCGCAAGCTGCGGCAGGAGGCACGAATCCTCCAATACGCGACCAATCCGGAGCGGTACGCGAGCGCGTCGAGGCAGGCGCTGCGCGCGTCGCTGGACGAGCAGGTGCGGGCGCAGGAGAGCTCGCGGGCCGAGGCGCGCCACAAGGAGCAAAGCGAGAGCACGCAGGCGCTATCGCATGCCATCGCCGCCGACGCCACTTACGAGGAGCTCGAGAGCCGACGCTCAGCGCAGCTGCGAGAGGTGGCCGAGGCGAATCGGCTGGCTGCGGCGGAGCGAAGGAAGCGGACGGAGCGGCAGCGTGCGGAGGACGACAGGCTGTACGATGGTAGCTTTGAGTGCCGATTCGGCACCTCGCTCCGCTGACGGACGCGCCGGCCAACGGCAACTTGGAGTGGCGCTTATGTAGACTGGAGCGGAGGAAGGGCCGCGCACACCGCACCGCAGACCGCACAAAAGCGCAGCTACGGTCGGGTAATCGGGCCGGTGTGGCTATGGGGACCGGACTGAGCTGCCCGCGTGTTTCTCGTGTCGGAGGCTTCCCCTCTACCCCCTTCTTCTGACGATGTTCAGGACTAGGTTCAGGACATCAAAAGATAAAGAACGCTCGGCGGGGCGAGAGACCGAGTCCGAGAGACCAGAGACAGAGAGAGTATCCGCAGACTTCAGAGAACCGCGAACCTCCATGGAACGCGAACCCCTGACACCCACACACCTCCAACCTCAATCTCGAGCCGTGGCCTCTCTTTGCCACGGGTGGGGCGACTCTCGCAGCGGCCGATAAAAGATGGGCTGCGCGTTGTGTCCGCTGTGAAGCTTGACAAACTCCACCAGCCCGCGCTCGCCCAGGCACAGCATGTCGACCGTCGCCGAGAACTGCGGGTTGTCGATGGCAAGGTGCCACAGATCGTCGCAGCCGCAACTGACGTGTGTCACGCTCGCCGCCGCCTGACAGGGGAGAGAGCGGGCCGTCTCGCCGCGGCCCCAACCGGCCACGGCACGGCGCACCTCGCACCACGGCGCTAACTCTCTACCCCCAACCCCAGCCCCAGCCCTACCCCGGCCCTGGGCGCACCTCGTACCACGACGCGCTGCGCGCCAGCCGGGTCCGCGCCTCGTGCGACGGCGAGGTCGGGCGCGGCGGCAGCGTGGGGCGGCTGCCGAGCGCCGCGGCGTACGGCGAGGAGGCGGCCTGCGACCAGCCCGGCTGCGACGAGGTTGCCATGACGCCGCACACGGCCTCCTCCTCCTCGAAGGCGAGCACGACGCGCCCCGCCGCCGCGCGGCCCGCCGCCGGCGCGATGAGGTCGGAGGCGAAGGCGGAGCCCGCCGGCGGCGCGCGGCTCTCGCAAAAGTGAAAGGGCCGCTCCAGCCGGCCGACGCGGCCGCACGCGACCACGTGGATCGAGCCGCCCTGGAGCACGGCGGCGGCCAGCTCGAGCGGCCACTCCTCCTCCGCCTCGCCCCGCGCGGGCCGCCGCTTGACCCGCAGCAGCCCGCCCGCGAGGCTCTCGTGGCTCACCTTCATGGCGCTCCACTGGCCGTCCGCCTCCCGCCGACCGAGCACGCCGCTGCCGTCGGCGTGGAGGGCGAGGTAGGCGCGCACGTGCTCCTCCTCCGCGGGCGGCGGCCTCCCCTCCGCCGCCGAGGCGGCCACCGCCGCCGGCGCGACGCCAAACGAGATGTACAGGCCGTCGTGGCGCACTCGGCAGGGGGGAGCGGCGGGAGGGAGCGGCACGCAGTAGAAGGTCGCCTCGTCTCGCACGGCCGCCTCGCTCAGGGTCGGAGGCACGTGCAGCCGGCCCGACCGCAGGTAGTTGAGGACTGCACGCGGGAGCGGTGACGGGTGGGCGTGGCAAGGTCTTTTCACGGTGGCGAGGTGTGTGCCGGCCACACCTGGAGCAAAGGTGTCGCCATCGCGGTCGATGAAGTATTCGTCGGCGTCGGCGTCGCCGTGGGCGAGGAGGGAGGAGAAGAACGTCGGCGGCGAGCCAATGGGCGCGAGCGTGGCTGCTGTGGTCTCGAACCGACGGCCGCCCACGTTCAGCTTGATGACGCTTTTTTTGTACTTTGGCTCCATCGGCGCGAACGGCCTTGTGCGCTTGCTCGTCCGCGTAAGCCGCCGACAAGATTTTGGAAATGAAAAAAACCTCCAGCGCGGGCACAATTTCACGTTACAAGGGGCATTCTGCGAGATGCAGGGAGGAGCTCAGCCTTGGAGGAGCTCAGGCGCTTAAAAAAGCGCCGAGACAGGGGGGGTGACACAAAGGTGTGGCGGAGAGGTGCCGGCCGCCGCGGTGCCCACCGGTGCCCGCAAGGAAGGAGCGCCGGCCTTGGAAGCCCGCCTGCCGGGCCAGCAGCCGCCAGTGCCGCCGCCACCCTGCCGGCCACGCCCGCGCGCAAGAGAAAGCGGATTGGTTCAGCCTTGTTATGTCTTATGAGAAGAAAACACGTCCTATGGCGCTATGCGCTGGTCTGTCTGTGAGGAGCCTGTCGAGGACTGGGGCTCCACTCGAGGTCATGTTCATAGATTCCAAAGCATTGTTAATAGCAAAGGGGGGAAAAGGTACCCTCGACCCTCACGCCTGCAACCCTCGCGCGACAGCACACCACTGCTCCGCACGAGACACCGTTGCAGGACCAACCCCAAAACGCGACAGCGCACACAATAGGGAGGGTGGGTGGGGAAGCAAAACAGGCCGTGTGGGGTGTGGGTGTCACGAGGACAGACGTCCACGAAGACGGTGGACGGACGCAAACTCCTTATCCGATTCACACTCACGGCTGTCCTACTGGTTATATAGAAAGTCGGCCGTCTGCGAGCCCCCGGCTCGCCGACGGCGAGAGAGATGCCACGAGGGGTCGCGGTGGCGTCCATCGCCAGGCTCCCTAGCTCAACCGACGACCCTTCGGGATCGACGGCCGATCGTCATGAGCCTGTCGAGGACTGGGGCTCCACTCGAGGTCATGTTCATAGATTCCAAAGCATTGTTAATAGCAAAGGGGGGAAAAGGTACCCTCGACCCTCACGCCTGCAACCCTCGCGCGACAGCACACCACTGCTCCGCACGAGACACCGTTGCAGGACCAACCCCCATCGCCATCCATCGTAGAACATGATCTCGAGCCCTGCCCCACAGCCCCTCAGCCACTACACCATCATAGTCACTCGCGCGAGCCGCTCGATGCGCGAGGCGAGATCGAGGCCGGCGTAGTGCTGCTGCATCGACCTCTCTCGCTCCTGCTCGTTCCAGCCGAAGATGCAGTCGATGTCTGTGATGGTAGCGCCCGTGACATCGCTCGTGTCCCGCGCCACCTTGTCCGAGAACCGTCGGTTCGAATGGTGGGCAAACTTGACAATTGGGTTGCCCGCCTCGTCCTCCTCAATCGCAAGCTCGAGGTCCTCCTCGTCGCGCTCGCGGAGGAGCTCGTACGCGAGCTTGAGCGCTTTCGTAGAATGGCTATATGACGAGCCAGTCTCTAGCGGAGTATCGGTGAGGCGCCCGCCGTCTGTCGCCCGGATGAGCGGGCCTTTGACGACGGCGGCGTACTGGGTGAGCCCCAGTCCCGCCAACCACTCGCTGGCAGCGCGGAGTCTGGCAGAACCCTTGGCTCCCCCAACGAGGTTGACGTACCGATCGCCCTCCTCGATGGTCGCCGCCTTCCTCTTCTGAGTCGCGGTGCGGCCAAGGTATTTGGCCGCTGGCCGGAGCGGGTGGTCACTCGGCAGCCGGCCGAGGGCCCCGACGAAGGTGTCGAAAGCGCCGTCTGGCAGGCTCGCCCCGACACGCAGCTGCACGACAGAGTAGTCCGGCCGCTCCACCTTGAAGCCGTCCACCGTGACCGTCTCGGTCGAGTGCCCCTGCACACGCCACAGATCCCGCACGGCAGACTCGAGGCTGAACTCAGAGGTGAGTGACGTGCCCACACAGTGAGCCCACCGGCCCTTCCCCTGGGCCGTCTTCGTGGACTCGAGGTGGGCGGCAACAGTCGTCCCCATCTCGGCACATCGCTCTGAGAGCGGGTTGACGATCCACACGTCGCAGGCGGCGACGCCGTGCTGGCGGCCCGTCGTCTCGCCGAGCCGCAACCCCATCATCACCTCAAGGAGGAACATGACGCGATGACTCGAGTAGACTGCCTCCGCCTTGGCGCCGGTGCAGCACGTCTTGAGCGTCTCGTCGAGAACGAGTCGAGCGAGCTTGCGCGTGGTGTGCGTGCACGGCTGCGCGAGCTCGCCGATCAGGCTGATCATCCTCGCGCGGAGCGCCTTCACCCGGGGGTCGGACATTATGCCGTTGGCGGTGGTCTTGGCGATGACTCCGCCCGCCGCCCTCAGGATCGTCTCGAACGAGCGAGCGCGGCCGGAGTCCATCGCGAGCCAGTTGATAAACTCGAGCATCGACTCGACACGGTAGCGGGGCAGGACGACGCCGCCGCCCATACTCGTAGCCCACACCTCCTCGAGACGGGTGAACTCCGCGTGGTTCTTCGACGTGGAGGACGCCTTGGTGCCCAGCTCGGCGAGCATCGTCCGAGCGGCGCGTCGGAGGACGAGGTCGGTGGGTGAGTGGCCGTCCGGCGTCATGGCTTCGGCCCTGCACACGGCACAGACGAGCTGTCCCGGCTCGACCTGGTATTTCGACAAGCCCGCGCACTCGCGGTGGAGCCCGTAGGAGCCGCAGCGTCCACAGATGTACTTGTCGCCTGTGGCACTGCACCCCCCTTGGAGGCACTTGAGCGCCGTCTCGACACGTCCGGCGCCCAGGACCGTCTCGAGGGACGCCTCCCTCCGGCTCACCGACTCGATGACAGCCGGAGCCTTCTCGTCGGCGGCTCGGCCGCATTCGCCACGGCCGGCGTGTACGAAGCCGGCGCCACGCGGCTCGATCTTGGCGCCCAGCCCAAACACAACTCCACAGCCCGCGCATGTCATGCCGCGGCTCTGGCAGTGCTGGACGGCGCCCGAGACCGACGGCTCTCGGTCCTTCGAGCTGGCAGCTGGAGCGGCGTTCGGCACGACGCGCCTCCGCGCCGCTGCTGCCTCGTCCGCTGAGGCACGAGCCAGCTTCAAGGCGTCGTCTGGAGATCTGCCGCCCTCGTCGACCCGCAAGCCCCCAATCGCCTCGGCTAGCGTGGCGTCGCCGTCGGCTGGCGGGGTGGCACCGCCCGTGGCGGCGCTCTGCTCCCGCCACCTGTCCAACTGCTTTACGGCCGCCTTCCAGTCGAAGGAGAAGCGGCCGACGACCCCGGCGCCCGAGGGATCCTCCCGAGTGCCGAAGTCGTTGACGAGCCAGTAGTTGGCGAGGTCCGAACTGTTGTACTCCCATGGCGAGCGAGTCGAGCCGTCATAGTAGCTGCACCCGCCGCGCGCGTTGCCGTCCAGGAGCTCGAAAGTACGCAGTTTCCCGCGCACGCCCACGAGGAGGCACACGAGACGAGGCTCGAGTAGAGGAGGAGCGAGGCGAGGCTCACTCGAGAGGGAAGGCAGCAGTGACAGCTGGCCGCCCGCCACGCCGCCCACGAGGCGGCACACGAGACGAGGCTCGAGTAGAAGAGGAGCGAGCTGAGGCTCGCTCGCCACGCCGCCCACGAGGAGGCACACGAGACGAGACTCGAGTAGAAGAGGAGCGAGGCGAGGCTCACTCGCCATGTCGCCCACGAGGCGGCACACGAGACGAGGCTCGAGTAGAAGAGGAGCGAGGCGAGGCTCACTCGAGAGGGAAGGCAGCAGTGACAGCTGGCCGCCCGCCACGCCGCCCACGAGGCGGCACACGAGACGAGGCTCGAGTAGAAGAGGAGCGAGGCGAGGCTCACTCGCCACGCCGCCCACGAGGAGGCACACGAGACGAGGCTCGAGTAGAAGAGGAGCGAGCTGAGGCTCGCTCGCCACGCCGCCCACGAGGAGGCACACGAGACGAGACTCGAGTAGAAGAGGAGCGAGGCGAGGCTCACTCGCCATGTCGCCCACGAGGAGGCACACGAGACGAGGCTCGAGTAGAAGAGGAGCGAGGCGAGACTCACTCGAGAGGGAAGGCAGCAGTGACAGCTGGGCGCCCACCACGCCGCCCACGAGGAGGCACACGAGACGAGGCTCGAGTAGAAGAGGAGCGAGGCGAGGCTCACTCGAGAGGGGCTCACTCGCCACGCCGCCCACGAGGAGGCACACGAGACGAGGCTCGAGTAGAAGAGGAGCGAGGCGAGGCTCGCTCGCCACGCCGCCCACGAGGAGGCACACGAGACGAGGCTCGAGTAGAGGAGGAGCGAGGCGAGGCTCACTCGAGAGGGAAGGCAGCAGTGACAGCTGGCCGCCCGCCACGCCGCCCACGAGGCGGCACACGAGACGAGGCTCGAGTAGAAGAGGAGCGAGCTGAGGCTCGCTCGCCACGCCGCCCACGAGGAGGCACACGAGACGAGACTCGAGTAGAAGAGGAGCGAGGCGAGGCTCACTCGCCATGTCGCCCACGAGGCGGCACACGAGACGAGGCTCGAGTAGAAGAGGAGCGAGGCGAGGCTCACTCGAGAGGGAAGGCAGCAGTGACAGCTGGCCGCCCGCCACGCCGCCCACGAGGCGGCACACGAGACGAGGCTCGAGTAGAAGAGGAGCGAGGCGAGGCTCACTCGCCACGCCGCCCACGAGGAGGCACACGAGACGAGGCTCGAGTAGAAGAGGAGCGAGCTGAGGCTCGCTCGCCACGCCGCCCACGAGGAGGCACACGAGACGAGACTCGAGTAGAAGAGGAGCGAGGCGAGGCTCACTCGCCATGTCGCCCACGAGGAGGCACACGAGACGAGGCTCGAGTAGAAGAGGAGCGAGGCGAGACTCACTCGAGAG